CTTACTAGTAGTAACAAGAAGCTACTAGGGGCTCCTGGCCCTACTACCAGGAGCAAGGACGCTACTAGGAGCAAAGGGCATCGCTACTTGGAGCCCCTAGTAGCTTCTTGTTACTACTAGTAAGGCACTTGTTACTAGTAGCGATGCACTTGTTCCTAGTAGCTTATAAAGGTACATAGATTGCTATTAGGTTGGAGGTTCATTATTTAGGAGCCCATAGGAGGCTCTTTGTGATTTGCAAGGATGTCATAGGCACCGCCAAAGAGTTAGCTACAGGCTCTGACCGTTGATAGGTTATTTGTCCTGGTGTGGTGTGAAGTGAAGTGGCGGACTGTGGGGTCAAATGAGATGGTGACTAACTAGCGGAACACGCGTGATGTGTCGAATGTTTTGGATGTCAGGCTGCCCAAACACTTGGAGTCCAAGAAGCAGGTGGCCGAAGCGCTCCAGGCGAATCCGGGAAGAGGTGAAAAACCGAATCGGAATCCGTTGAAAAACCTTAAACCGACGAGGAAGGAAGGAAGTGACAACAATAGATGGATGGTCGCTTGAAATGCAAAAAAGGTGTGAGGACCTCCATAGGGATGCCGTCTTTCTCTCAGTGCGAATCGTTCTTTAGATTTTTTACACCTACCTACACTCTCCTCTCTACTTGAACTCACCACGTTTTGAGTACTTTCTGTCGCAGGAGTTTGGAGAGGTGGTCCATGTTCACATTAAGGACTGCCTCACCTCGTAGCCCACCCAGACTTCAAGATTCAGGTGTTTAAACGGTGGAAATCAGACCCTTTTTGTTATCGTTTTTTAAGGCATTGTTTTTGCATTGTTTAATCTGTTCTTCTAGACCTAGTTTGAAGTGTCTAAGCACCGGTTCAAGACCAAGCCGGACCATGCTTTGTCAAATATACGATCGAAATCTTCACAGGTGCCCAGTCCTACAATTGATCCAACCGGGCCTTTTGAGATGCTTTGTCACTAGAAAGCCTGCGAGGTTTCCACGTCTATTGTTCAAACACATGAAGAGACAAAGAAGTGAAGACTTGATGCATGTTGGAAGGAAGTGACATGAAGAAAGACAGGCCCGACAGGCTCGTCTAGAATATTCTAAAGGTAAACAAGAACGAAGAATAAACAAGACCCGTTGTTACTAGTAGCGATGCCGTTGTTACTAGTAGCTTCTAGCTACTAGTAACGATGCCCTTTGCTCCTAGTAGCTTCTTTCCAAGTCTTTCTTCGATTTTGTCTTTTTCAGGAGGACCTGAGCCACGGCTTCGTCCATTTTGCCTCAAAGGACTCGGCCGCAGCTGCGATCCGAGCAGGCAGGGTCTCGGCGACCGCCGGAGGAGTGAGTCATGGTGTCTGTGTTCTCGGCATCTTCAAGCCAGTGGTTTCCTTACTAACTAGAATTCTTACATTCGCTACTAGTAGCAAGGGCATTACTACTAGTAGCTAGAAGCTACTAGGAGCAAGGACGTTACTAGGGGCTCCTGGCCTTACTACTAGTAACTAGGGATTACACACTGGTGAGTTTCGCCAAAAGGTCGATGTCGAACATCGGCAAACGCCAATTGACCGAAGATGAGAACCAATTGTTACAGAACTTCTTGCTCCTAGTAGCGATGCCAGGAGCCCCTAGTAGCTTCTTGCTCCCAGTAGTAAGGCCAGGAGCCCCTAGTAGCGTCCTTGTTCAAGTACTGGGGCCAACCAGGGCCAAGTGGCAGAAACGGGACCGGGGCCACAGCCACCTGCAGTCGCACGGCAGGCAGCGTGGGCATCTGCCATCGACAGGTAGAGATCCGCTCAGCCAATCAAGATGCCAATCAAGATCCGCCGCCCAACCTTCTTGAAGGCCACCTGTGGCAGATGAGTGATGAATGCATATGAAGTTGCACTCCTTCGACTAAACGAACCAGCTCAACTCCCACACAGCATCTCAGAAACTAAGATTATAGGCTAACCATAATTTCTCGACTTTGCACAGCCTTCTACTCTGGTCTTTGAGGTGAAAGCAGCTTCTACTGGCAAGGCCGACTGGAGAAATTCCGCCGTGGCCATGGCTTTCTGCGGCCGCTGCCTGGCGGTGAGCAGCTTCCTGAGATGGAGCATGAGGACGTGGGCATTGAGCGGGGAGTCTATGTGCCTCCTGGAAGCAAGAAGTGAAACATGAAAAAAGGTCGAAGAAGTCCAAAGGTCGAAGAAAAGAAGAGAAAAGAATGAAACAAATTCAGCGATTCAGTCCAGTTCGGATTCAGGCCCAAGGGTATAGTAAGCGCTTTTGTTTCAGGTGGGAAGTGTTTCTCCAACCTTGGTAAGGGTTTCTTAGTTTCCATTTCGAAGGCTACCCATCTGTAGCGATAGCCATCAAAGATAGGTATGTTGCACCTAGTGGCCCCTTCATATCCCACCCCTTTGTAAAGTAGGGAACCAACCTTGAGGGCGCGTAGGGACGCATTTCAACATGCAACCGCTGCAATCATGAGGCACAAAGGTGGACGGTGAGAGGGTTGGGTTGCAAAAGACATCATTCTTGTTTGTAGCGTGGGGTTAGCAACTGTTTGTAGCTCTGCAGGAAAGCACAGATTTGGAAGAAATCAGAGAAAGGTCTAAAGAGCAAACTGCACAGATCGATGAAAAAAGGAAAAACATATGAGAGACACTGCTCCTAGTAGCGTCCGATCGCTCCTAGTAGCGATGAGAGACACTTTGAAAGCACGTCATAAGAATTAAGACACGTGTCTTTTTGCGTAAGTTAGCTCCTGGCCTTACTACTAGGAACAAGAAGCTACTAGGAGCAAAGGGCATCGCTACTAGGAGCGAGGACGCTACTGGGTTGGAGGCCGTTTCTTTCTTTCAGCTTATTGTTTCTACTAGCTTCTTGTTACTACTAGTAAGGCACTTGTTACTACTAGCGATGCACTTGTTACTACTAGGACGCTCGCTCAGCATGTCAGGTCGGTAGCACAGGTGGAACGCTTTGATCTGCAGGATGGTGACGTCATCGGTGCGGAGGTGAGACATGGGGGAGACATGAGACAGGATGGCGATCGGACGCTGACGCTATTGACATTAAAAAAATAGAGACACCTGCGTCTTGAAATGGACGTGGTATTGGATGGAGTGTAAGCCAAAACAAAATAGCTCTATGATTGTCTTTCTTAAGCACTGTTTTGATCAAATAGAGGCACGTCCCAAGAACAATTGGCGAGTTTCTCTAACCAATTTTCGCCAACGTTGGCTTGGTTAGCGAAAAAGAAAACATACCAAAAGGTATTTATGTCTGAGCTTTGGGCTACCCTGACAATTCTTTCAACTTGTGCTGTTTTACCCATTAGGTTTTTCTTCTTTTGTTTGGTCTTTTTCAACTAGTCGTTTGAAGAGAGCACTCAGGTGAGGCCGCCACGCAGCTCTAGCAAAAGGTCATACAACAGCTCGTGCGACGAAGTGTCCTGGGTTTCTGGGCAAAACCGAGGGGGGGCTAGGGAAATCTGTTTTGTGGGTGATCAGCACTTCGCCGTGGTTTCTGCATCAAGTTCCAGCTGTACCCAGGCGTACGTACAGTCTCCAAACTGAACAAGGGCTGAATTGTCCCGAATGTCAATGTCTCGGTGTCCGACCCTTTCCTTTCCTCGCCCATGCGTTCCATTATGTCACATTTGTGCCATCAGAGAGACGGAGAGGCGGCGCGAAGCTTGGTCTTGGATAGAAGCATGACGTGTCAGATTCTTGTGAAACAGCGGATTGTGTGCAAGTGTGACATATGATTTTGCTGCGCAGGTGCAGTGTTCCAGCTCCACAGATTGCTCCGCGTACTAAAGTAGTACTACAAAGTCGCCAGTTCTCATCTTCCAGCTCCCCAGATACTCCGCGTACTAAAGTTGTACTACAAAGTCGCCAGTTCTCAGTTTCCAGCTCCCCAGATACTGCGCGTACTAAAGTTGTACTACAAAGTCGCCAGTTCTCAGCTTCCAGCTCCACAGATTGCTCCGCGCACTAAAGTTGTACTACAAAGTCGCCAGTCGCAGATACTCCGCGTACTAAAGTTGTACTACAAAGTCGCCAGCTCTCAGCTTCCAGCTCCACAGATGCTGTGCCTGCCACGAAATCTGCACATGGAGGTTCACAAAGTGCTGTGCCTGCCACGAAATCTGCACCTCGAGGTTCACACAGTGCTGTGCCTGCCACGAAATCTGCACATGGAGGTTCACAAAGTGCTGCACCTGCCACGCGCATGGAGGTTCACAAAGTGCTGTGCCTGCCACGAAATCTGCACTTCAAGAAACAACTGAAACCTCTAATCACAAATGATCCGAGAATGATCCGACCATGATCCGACCATGGCCCAAGACCGTCTCGCAACCGTCGTTCCGCGAGGTTCGGAGCAGCATGGAGGTTCACAAAGTGCTGTGCCTGCCACGAACTCTGCACACTTCACAAAGTGCTGCGCCCGCCACGTAATCTGCACATGGAGGTTCACAAAGTGCTGCGCCTGCCACGACATCTGCGCGTCAAGAAACAAGCGAAAACTCTAATCACAATGGAGGGACGATTCCGAGAATGATCCGACCATGATCCGACCATGACCCGGGACCGTCTCGCAACCGTCGTACCGCGGAGCTTCCCCGTCGAGGTTCGGAGCAGCGTGGAGGTTCACAAAGTACTGCGCCTGCCACGCCATCTGCACATTGGAGGTTCACAAAGTGCTGCGCCTGCCACGAAATATGCACATGGAGTTCACAATGCGCTGCACCTGCCACGAAATCTGCGCATGGAGGTTCACAAAGTGCTGCGCCTGCCACGTAAACTGGAGCTAGAGCTATTGAAACTAGAGCTGACTGGAGCTAGAGCTCTTGAAACTAGAGCTACCTGGAGCTAGAGCTATTGAAACTAGAGCCACCTGGAGCTAGAGCTATTGAAACTAGAGCTGATTGGATGATGAGTGGTGCATTATGAGTGGTGCATTATGAGTGGTGTATGATGAGTGGGGTATGATGAGTGGCGTATGATGAGTGGCGTTTGATGAGTGGTGTATTGATGAGTGGTGTATGACCAGTTCTTGAATGTCCGTAACACGGAAGTTTCGTACACTCAGCTTCCTTTGACAAACCCATGCTTTGCGTAGTGTGAATTGTCTGACTTTCAAGTTGCGGAAAGTTGCTCCCTTTCGTCAGACGTCAAATGCTTCGAAATTGTTTCGTTCAAATGCCACCCTAAATACTCGATCCATCTCGAAAACTCAAAAGCTATGAGCCGAAACGTGTCTCAACCCCACAGCATGCAATGCTAGATATCCACTCCACCCAAATCTCATACTTGATTGCAATCAAAGACACAAAAAAACAACGCTTTGACATGCCACCGCGTGATGTGTTTTGCAAGTCAAGGTCTAACTCTCAGTAACGTAAAGGGCTAGCTTCACGTGGAAGTCACAACTGATACAGCCCTTGCGAGCCATGATCTAAGTGTGTCTCGCAACAGGGTCCCACTGAGGTGTGTTGTGTGATCCCCGCCGAGGGGCGCGTTGAACATAGACCCTTAAGGGAGATCTTTGACTGAAATCTCGTTCCTGCTCGACTACCACCGATTCAGCTGCCTGCTCGAGATAGCCGATCATATGCCGCAGGGCCTACTGAATGAACCGTAGAATGACATGTTTCATGCGTCTAAGTATTCATAGGATCATGTCGTGCAGCTAAGTAACCATAGGCAGTTTTCACCACCAATTTTTAAAGAGTATTTATTGCGCATCCTGCATCATCTATACTCACGGACTTGTTCCAGCTCCCGAGCTTGCAGCCATGCACTATCCTTGGCATGTTCCTACCGCACCGTCGACTATGACCCCAACGATGCCAACCTTCTATGGTCCGTCACGGAAGAATGTCGCACAAAAACGTGTCAAGCAGGAGTGTGCAACAAGAGAATCATAGAAAAGTGTCTCACAAGAATGTCTTAAAAGGTTTTCGCCAGGGGTGACGTACAAAAATGTCAAACCATTGAACATGTACCACAAATAAGACACCCCTACCAGAGTCTCCCCACGCTGAGATGTTCAAATCGTTTAGCTCTCCGGCTTGTGGGTTTCATATTGTTTTTTGCAAACAAACCCCGCGGCAAACCTTCCAAAGCCTTTGCGTCATTGAATCAACGCCCAAGGCTTTGTTACAATTGCGCGACATCAACGGAGAACAGGCTTCTGCGCGAGACTCGACTCGGGGCCCCATTGGGTCCCACTTTCCGAACTCCTTCAATTGTGACCGCAGGTCTACGTGTTATCATATTTAAAGTTTTGCTTTAGGTGTTGCATGGACTTCGCGTGACTTCCAGCTCACGCAAGTCGGTTGTGAACATCTTGGACAATGTCTTTCCATTTTAGCCTAGGATTTCTCCAAACCTTTTAGAGAGGCGACTTTGGAGTCCGTCCTTTTGGTGTTGGCCGTGCCACCAAACCTGGTAAACGCTCAGGAGATCGTGGTTGGAGCTGGAGCGCCTGGTCGGACAAGTCTGGGTCCCCTTTGGAATGGACCGGCGTTGTGGAGTGTTGGAGGACCCACAGAGTTCAGTCTTAGACTCTAAGACATTCAAGACGTTTTCATTTCTCAAAACACTTGCAAAGTCACCCTGCCAGGAAGTTGAACCACGGCTTCTTGCGCCCTTTGCCACCAGATCTTTGGCCAAAACGGGCCATGACGAAGGGCTCGTTTCACATATTGTTCATCATCTCTGCTTGTTGATTGCTTTTGGTGCATGGTACTGGTGGGATCCAGGCGCATCGTGCATCTCAGGAGGATCGCCGCAGCATCAACAACCCGGATGTGGACGTGGCGCAAGGGGTTTTTGTGTACCCCAAGACCATCCAGGACCATCGTCTGAGAGACGGAGATGTCGTCAAGGCTCAAATCAGTACCTCAGAGGGGAAGTCCATGACGCTTGGCGAAGTCGGTGATGTTTTCAATCCTGAGACTTTTGGAGTTCCAAGAGGTGCCAGAAGAGATGCCAAAAGAGGATTCAGCATACACGCCATCATTGAGGGATCATTCTGGATGTTTTCGCACGGCAATGAAAGAAACAAATTGATTTGTCACTCTCCTTATCTCTCCGTCCTCGGTGCCCTTGCTTGTGCATGTTTTCAACAAGATCGCTTTGCGTTGTCTACTAGCTTCTTGCTCCTAGTAGTGAGGCCAGGAGCTACTAGTAGCGTCCTTGCTCCCAATTGCGTCCTAGCCAAGGGTCGTGCGGAGGGTGCTCCACGTGGACCGGAAGTCGGAGGACATCCTTCGAGAAAAAGCCATCGCGCTGGAAGGAGAGGTCGAGATCTTCCGCAAAGGCTCCGACACGATCGTTTTCGTGAAAACGTGAGTTTCTGTCACTTTGGTCGGAGATAAAGTCAGGCTACGGCTTTTTGCGACCGCTCCCAGACGACCTGGAGCTTTGGCAGGAGAAAGGTTGCAGCGAAGGCAAGGGTACCTCGGGTCCCACAAGGTGTCCTGGACCATGCGAGGTATGAAGAGTGAGACCACGCTCAAACCTACTAGCCACGGCCTCCAACCTAGTAGCAATCAAACCTATGTGTTCATTTGTGTTCCAGTTTTGTAAACTCTTTGTTTGTGACTGCGTTGTATTCCTAATGTTTGCTAATTTTGTGAACGGGCCTGGGCTTTCCTGCTAAACAATTGTGCAGGTGTCTACGTTGCTGCCAGTCAAATCAGCAGGCCAGCGGGGTGCGTGGGGTGTGAGTTTTAGGGTGAACTTGTTTACGGTGTTCAAAGCTGATTCACTTCAGACCAACGAATTTTTGGTGTTTCGTTTCGATGGACGTCGGCTGGAGCTCATGGAGCAAGGTATGGCATATACCATGGCCAGCGCGCCACCTGGCAGTGAAGCGTCCAGGAATGGGTATTGAGAAGCAAATATTTCAGATGGGATAAAATACGGACATCCTCCAATCAATTGTGTTTATTTGTTTTTTGTTTTTTGTATAATTTCTTTCAGTCTGTTTACGAATATGATATACTGTCCAACAACGTCAGGTCATTCACACCAAAGAGGCGTTGTAAGACAAACAGCAGGGTGGGCTAGTGGCTCTCAACGAGCGTCGATCACTTTCGGAAATAGAAAAGAGTTGTATTTTGGATGTCCTCAAAGCATCGCATTCTTATCATCACATTGCATGGAGATCCCCCCAATTGAAAGGGGCCCAAGCACTTACACAGTCACAACTGACAGTATTCATCGATGCAGATCACTTGAGAACACATCCGAGAAATACAGCATCTCGAACTAGTCAAACACCGCACTACAAGCACCCACAAACTAAGCAAAATCTGGTTGAAACCCTTACTTAATTACTGTAAGTAGGCACGTGCCTACTTAAGTCAGGGCTAAACAAACTAATCGGTAACCTGCTACTAGCTGGGAAAGAACAAGAACAAACAAAACGAATCGGGGTGGAGGCCATCGCTTGTTTGCAATAATATGTTACAAAAAAGTGCATCGATCGTCTGAGTAGCTCATCTCAGGTCACCGGCCTCATCTATCCGGCGGCGCCGCCCGCTAAGCCCTCACCGGAGCTGGCGGACATCCTGCCTGCTTTTTGGGCCGCACATGACGGTGGGCGCGGTGGGCGTGGAGAACCGCTAGGATTTCATCCGCGAGCATGTCTCGCTTGGTAATAACTAGTGACGGTAGTGAAAGACCCATGCTAACAGGCACAAAAAACCAACATCTACTTGCAAATAACGTATGACTTAGAATTGATTTGTACAGTGAAAAAGGTCTCAAAAAAGGAGATTGCCTTTTTTGAACAAATGGCAGTGAATAATGGTTAGCATTCCAGACCTACTGGCCTATTGCAGTAAGCAGCAGCCCACCCTAGTAGTGATGGCCTCCAACCTAATGGACGCTCGCTCAGGACAAGCCTGAGGATGTTTGGCAGCTCTTGGAAAAGGACTCTGACGAGAATGGGCCGCCGCTGAAAATCCGGAGGCTCCTGGGGCTCCGGATGCACGGCGTCATCACGAGCTGGACGATGACGAAATCCGGTTTCTATGGTCCGGAGGCTTAGAAATAGTTGGAACAGATTAAGCGTATGAACAGCACCTCTTTGAACAGAATCTATTGAAAGAGTGGGGTAGTCCGCAAAAGTCTATTTTCAGTAGACATTGCCAGTGACTTAGTTTTCGCCTTGCATGTTGCATGTTTTTGGATTCCAGTGCACTGGAAGACGTCTGAGCACGTTGAGCACAAGAGCTGCACCCAGCCCTTTGCCCCTCCTAGTAGCGTTCTTGCTCCTAGTAGCGTGGCACTTGTTACTAATTGCTTCTTGTTACTACTAGTAAGGCACCTGTTACTAGTAGCGATGCACTTGTTACTAGTAGCATTCTTGTTCCTAGTAGCGATGCCAGGAGCCCCTAGTAGCGTCCGATCGCTCCTTCCCAGCCTCAACTCAAGGTTTTTTGAAAGCCGACCACGTCGACATACCTGACGAGGCACACCAACGCTTCATTGGTCTAGAGGCTGAGAATTGTCACCACTTGAGTAGCTTCATCCCCGGGTTTTGAAGACAACAGGGATCTTTCCAATCACAGCCACAATCCAAAATGGCAAGCTGTGTCACATGTCGAGAAAGAGCAATTTTAGATGGGACAGAAAAGAAGAAGGAACATATTTTATCACAAGAAAGTGGTATTGCAGCATCCAAACTTAGTTCATAAATTTAAACCATCCGCTCGGCCATTCTTAGCATCTCCAGTGTCTTTCGCCCTTTTCGGTTTGGCACAGAGCTAGTAGTAACAGGTGCCACGCTAATAGTAACAGGTGCCACGCTAGGTCTTCTTCCGGGTCTGGCACGATCCCAAGCAGCTCCTGCAGCTCCGCTTGGGCGAAGCAGTGCCAAAGCCCAACGAGCGGGCGTTGGGACGAACGTCTTGGGACGAAAAGGAGAAAGGGAAAAAGAAGAGGAAGAAAAAGGAAGAAAAAATAAGCAAGTAAGTAAGTAAGTAAGTCTGAACAACATAGAAAACACAGATAACAAAGGCAGGAAGGAAGACGCCCCGATCGGACTTGGACTTTTTGCACACCTCCTTCAAATTTTTCGGATAGGGCCTTAGCAAGGAACTTATCTTCTTTCCCGAATTTTTACTGCAAGGCCTTTGAATACGGTCTGTGTTTGCAATGCCAGGCTTATGTCCTTGTGGAAGCAAGAGATTTCCCCCTACGAGAGGGTTCGCGTAGCTGAGCTACCAAGCTTGGCAAGATGAATGATGGGGTGGGGAAACTGGTGTAGTGTCGTCTTCCCAACAGCCTCGAACCAGTCGATGCCATTTCCTCTTCTATGTATCAGTGCACCTGCTCAACAGGGAAAGCAAGGACTTATCCAAGGCAACGGAAGTTTTGAAACTTTTTCCCGACTGAAGGTTTGAAACATGAACGTTTTGAAAGTCCTGAATTCGAGCATTCCTGAGCCACTTTTCAGTCTTGTTTTTTCAATGTGTTCCTTCTCTTTGGTCCGAGTCCTTGTGGAGTCCTTCATCTCTCAGGTCTTCTTTCGTTTGGAGATTCGCCGCCGTGGTGAAGGTGATTGGACGTGTTGTGCAGCCAATCTTCACTTCCATGAGCAGGATCGGGAGAAAATATCAGTCTGCAATGCGGCATGATATGTAGAAGATCAGTCTCGAGTTGGACATGTTTCTTCAAATATATAGGCGATGAAACATCCACCTTCACCCTAGTAGCGATGGCCTCCAACCTAATCGTAGGATGGAGCTCGAGAGCATCAGCCGAAAGATTTGGAGCTCTTGAAAGCGGCCAATGCGTGGCTGGAGACCGTGGAGATCCCGCGGGACCAACGCTCGGAGATCCACGCGCAGATGCCGCAGATGGCCGCCGCCAAGGCCGCCGAGACCGAGACGACCGAGGCGGCCGAGACGGGCGAGACGGCCGAGACGGCTGAGACGGGCGAGACGGCTGACCAGAACGCGGCAGTGCATGGAGCTAATGGGGCGGATCAAAAAGAGTGTAAGGATGAGGTGGAAGAGATGAAGGAAACGACAAAGATGGAAAAGGAGAAGGAGTTGGAGAAGAAACAGATAGAGTCCCCAGAGCAGGCAGGGTCTGCTCCACGGCGAAAGCCTTCAAGACCGAAGCTGAAGCCGCAGCGGTCGTCGGTGGCGCAGCCACGACCAAAGGATGGAGGGCGCTTTGAGCGACCGATACCCGTCATCGGGCCAAGTCGGGTCATACCTGGCCAGCTTGGACAGAGACAGGGCGAGCCCAGACCGGGCGAGCCCGCAACGCGGCCCATCCAAGCCATGAAGTCCATGGCAAACTCGAACATTCACATCACCTTTACTATGCCGGCGTCCAAAGCAAAGGCCTTGCCAAAGAAGCAAGTCTTGCCGAAGAAACTCCTGCCGACCAGCAAGCCGTTGGCCAAACCCAGGGGGTCTGTTGCCCATCACATGGACGCCCTCACAAGCCCGCCGCCAAAGCCGCAGATCCGCCCCACCAGGGCGAAGCCAAAGGCAAAGCCCAAGGCGGCACCAAAAGCCTCGGCAGGGTCCGAACAATTGAGCAAAACGGCAAAGATGCTCGGTCTTACAGCTTTGTACAGCTCGGTCTCACAGTTTGTCATTATGTTCGTTTTATGCGAATGGCAAATGGTGTTCTTTCGAATCACTCTGAGGACTCGGACTGTTCAACATGTTTTGTGTTTTGTTTTGCGAGACGTGTAAGCATTTTCTGTGATGGCAGTGAGACTTTTCGTCCAAGGAAGAAGAAGCAACTCATCCAACAAACCATTGCGAAAGTGAAAGAAGCTGCCAGCCGTGCGCTGAGAGTTCAGCACTCGCTTTTTCGAAAGGTGCGGGTGGAGTTGGTGGTTCATGATGGTCCTTGATATGCGTTTTATAAATGGCTAAGGGAATGTGGGATCAAATTCCCAATTCACTCCTCAGGGAGAGCGCATGTGACGGGGGGAGTGGAATGACCATGGAATGACCACTTCGACACATGGAATGCCAATTGCCTGTCAGGCCTTGAGTGAGCGGAACGCTTTGAAGGGCAAAGACATGGATCAAATCCTCGAAGAAGCCACGAAGTTGCTCCCCTCTTCTCTCTCAGAGCTGGAAGAGGCAAAGCCAGCGACTCGGAAGCTTCCCACCAAGGTCGCCCCACAGGCCCCACCGGCCCCACCGCCACCAACGCCACCGCCGCCACCGCCAGCCCCAACGGCGCGGTCGGGCGCGACGCCCACGGCCGCACCGGCCGCGGCGTTTTCGGCATCTGCCGCGCCGGCTCGAACGCCGCACAGCGCGGCCAAGGCCAAACCCGCACCCAAAATGATGCCGCGAAGCAAGCCTGAAACGCAGAAACGAGTGAAGCTGGAAGATCCAGGACCTGGGCGTGTCACTGTTTACTTTGATTTGTGTTTTCTGTTCTTTGGATCAGTAGATGCAAGTTTTGGTTTGGTGAAACACCATCAAATCCAGCATAGCAGATCGTAAGTCTGGCGGCGCAATGCCTCCGATTCTGTTTTGGTCGCGTCGCAGGAGATGACTTTGTGACGGTCCGCGTGGCCGGCGAAGAAGAGCCATCAGCACCATCAAGTCACCCCAGGCAGAGCCCGCCGGCAAGACAGCCCAGGCAGAGACCGCTGGCGCATCACCTGGCGCATTGCATCCAGACATCACATGATATCACCATGGTAACAAGTGCATCGCTATTAGAAACAAGTGCATCGCTACTAGTAACAAGTGCCTTACTAGTATTAACGAGGACGCTATTGGAAACAAGAAGCTATTAGAATCTATGAAAGCAATGTAACACATATGGGTTCATTGCTGGACCTTAACAGAACGTGGAGGGTTTTCAATGGCAGCAATTGTACTACACAAGGCCCTTTGAAAGGGACCGCTTGCTAGTGCAGCTGGTCTTGGGAGGCTCAAGGATTGCAAGTCTGCTAAGAAAGGAACAGCGTTCCAAGTTTGGCAAAAGGTTCCCGAGTGTGTTCCTGTTACAAAAGTGTTTGTGCGACGGGCTAAGAAATGTCACTGTGCCAGGAGAGTTGTGCCAGGCCCACATAGGAAAACCTTGAGTGGATGTATTCTTGATATCTAGTAGAAACAATGTTCGCTACTAGGAACCAGTGCATCGCTACTAGAAACAAGTGCCTTACTAGTAGTAACAAGGACGCTATTAGAAACAAGATTGTTCTTCGTGTTTTGTTCTTAGGTTGGAGAGGTGATCGCTCTTAGGTTGGAGGCCTCTTAAGTTGTCCCAAAAATCGAGGAACCAAATGAATAGTGCGTGAGCTATCCTGCGTCCTGTCGGTAGGCCTACTAGCGGCCTACCCCCCCCTCAAACTGTATTTGTTCTATTATTTTTTTCGTTTTGTTTCACCGGTGTCAGGAGCGACGACTTCGTGACGGTGAAGCTCGAGGACGATGATTTCGTGACGGTAAAGGTCGAGGGCGCTGAGGACACACGAGCGACCTCCTCCCGAGACGCCGTCATGGTCAAGGCCGGAAGAAAGCAAGAGAAGAAAACGAAAAAGAAGAGGACAGAAAGAGAGGAAACCATCAGGACACTTTAAACATATGGAGAAACTGTTTTCTTCAACCCGTAATGATGCAATATGATGCAATGTCGATGGAGTAGTGAAGTCAAAGATGCAAGGCCCTTAAGCAGTGACGAGTCCTAAAAAGTAAGTCATATCATCTCAGTGGTTGAGGAGTTTGCATGGTGATGTGTCTTCAGCATCCAAAACTGTTGTCGGAAGATTCTTGGAAGGTGGAGTGAAGGTGCTTTCATCAAACAAGCAACCAATGGAACTGTCGTTTTGGCTGAGCAGACAGGAAGCCTTAAACTTTCGTTCACACTCTTTGTCATGGGGTCACATGACATTCTCGGGCCGACGCACAAAACGCACTTGGAGCCTCCAACCGACCCGAGCGTTTGGGCTTGAAATCCATTCAATCTTCGGGGCTGGCGTCCTTGCTCCTAGTAAGGCCAGGAGCCCCTAGTAGCTTCTTGTTACTACTAGTAAGGCACCTGTTACTACTAGCGTGGCACTTGTTATTACTAGCGTCCTTGCTCCTAGTAGTAAGGCCAGGAGCCCCTAGTAGCGTCCTATCGCTCCAGGTGGACGTTTGGGATTCCGACGAGGAGCTGCCGCCCTTTGACCCGGATGACAATTGGTGAGAAAAGGAGCGGCACGAGCGGCTGCGGCTGCACGGCGGCCGCGTGGCGGATGCGGAATGTCAGAAGAACGTGAGATGCCGCTGTTGCAAGTTCAAGTGTTATTAGGCTTGGGTTCTTTGCAAATGGAAAGGGAGTACTACAGGCAGGATTCAACTTGCCAAGGTAGTTTGAAGTAGTTATTACGTACAGGAAATGGGCCTGCACATGCAGGAGGTTGGGGTTCAAGACCTCCTTGTGGGCCCTTGATCTCCAGTTTAGTAAGTTAATAACTTGATATAATGTTCTTTAAAATCCTATGGACTTAGATGTTCAATCGAGCTGAGGGACTGTTGCTCACTGACCTCTTCAGACTTCCGCTGTGGCGTTGCTTGGGCAGCACAGTCCCCAAAGGCCCCAAGGCTTGTTCCTTTAGTCAAAAGGAATCCAACCTACTAGCGATGGCCTCCAACCTAAGAGCCATGACCTCCTACCTACTAGTGATGGCCTGAAACTGAACCAAGATCCTCACTATCACCTGGACTTTACACAAACGCCAGATTTTCTCGGCCACAACAGTCTTGGACAGGTTGCTATCCTTTGATCAGGATGCAAGAATTGAATACCGTGTCCTCTCCTCCAAATATCTCTGGACATGGGATGGGCATCGACCAAATCAAAAACAGGGCAGGTCTAGATTGAGGCAGTTGGGATGCAGCTCAAAGGTTTTGGTTTTGAGAAGTTGATTGGTTATGATTGGGCTCGTCTTTTCTCACCAAGTTTTCATGTGCTTTGATTTGAACACAGTGACTGTTTTGAGTTTTTGGCCCAGGCTTGGGGACATCCACGTGCTGATCGAGCCATCCGTGTGCTGGCTGATGAGGACTGAAAGAAAAAGAACTCAACCAGCTGCACATGTTTTCGGCCCAAGCGTACTGAGAATCAGAACTCGCTGATGTTCTGTCCCACACATGATTCCAAGTGCAGAAGTGGTGAGGTATTTGTTTGCTTCCCAATCATAGCAGGGGAACACCCACAAGACAAGGTGAACAACTATTACCTCCACATTTATTTTATGCATTCATTGAATAGGGCGCTCTTGACAGCCCTTATGCCTTGTCAACCTATGGCTAACACAAACGTTTCATGAACTTATTTTCTTCTTCAACTGGAATTTCCCGACTTGGTCTCAGGATTTGCCCTTCTACCGCCTAGCAGTGCAGCAGGCGAGATCTTCAACGCAACAGGTCTACCAATTCACCATGGAGTATTGCAATTAGATGCTGCACTTGTTTCTCGCGCAGAAACCAGCAAAAGCCTACCGCGTGTTTGCCGCATACGTCAAAACTTGCAAATGGGATCTGATCTGCAAACTTGAGAGGACACTCGTGCCTCTCCAATATTTGACACCCCGGGCACATGCGTTGGCGGAACGCAACAGTGCCTGCGATCACTCATTTGGACTCAAACTTTTGGATGCGTTTCCTTCGCTGGCCTTTTGTTTCAACCGAGTCCAACCTCGATACGTTCAAATGGCAATGCTCATGATCACCAATGGTCCAGGCTGAGACGTTGTATGGTGTCCGCTACTGAGACGTCTCAGAGTGGATCGGGGATTCTGGGTTCATCGGGAGTTCGGCAGAGCATCAGTCGGAAGGGTTGCACTTCACAAGTGCGGATGGTCCACACCCAACGTAAGCGATGGCCTCCACCCCACTAGCGATGGCCTACTAGCGATAGCCTCCAACCTACTAGCGATTGTCTATTGAGCTTGATCATCCCTCTTTCTTGTCCGCGGTTCACTTTGTCCGCTGGTGCTTTGTTGATTTAGTTCGGTTCACTTTGTTTTGGTTTTTGAGTCAAGGGTGATCCTGTGCCCTAATTGATTGGGAGCCAAACTGTAGCAACTGGCCAAATGTGTGCAAACATACTGCATGTGCCATGATCATTTCCAAGCCTAGGCTTTTGGCCATCAAATAAATAATAATGTCAAGAATAACGGACCCCTGTGCTTGCTTGTTCAAACATCTGGATATCCCCCCAAAATCTCTCATGTTCCCGTTGTTGGTGTCAGGGTATCGGAGGTAGACATGGCAGTGTATTGTTTTTCCATGCAGGGCATCGCTACTAGGAGCAAGGACGCTACTAGGGGCTCTTGGCCCTACTACTGTTAACAAGAAGATACTAGTAACAAGGGCATCGCTACTAGTAACAAAGGGCATTACTACTAGGAGCATTCTTGCTATTAGTAACAAGAAGCTACTAGGGGCTCCTGGCATCGCTACGAACGGAGCAAGGACGCTACTGGGGGCTACTACTAGGAGCAATAAGCTACTAGTAACAAGGGCTAGGTAACGAGAAGCTACTAGTAACAAGTGCCTAGTTACTATTAGCAAGGCACTTGTTACTAGTAGCGATGCGCTTGTTTCTACTAGGTAGACATGGCTCCAAGTGTTTCAGCTCAGGTGGTGGCTGCCAATCCGGTCTTCTTCAAGTGGTCAGAGGATCCTGAAGCCGAGGCGGCACCAGCACACCGTGGTCTTCCACGGGTCCACCAGGGTGAGATTACAGAAGCCCCGAACGTAGCTTCTTGTTCCTAGTAGTAAGGCCAGGAGCCCCGAGTAGCTTCTTTGTTACTAGTAATTACAACATGGGACAGGGGTGATGGTAGCCTTATATCAGGCGACCAAGTAGCCTTCACAAAGGGTTGTAAAGCATTCCACACTCACTCAGCACCAGCAGCCCTGGATTGTTTTTGAAGAGTCAACGGTTTATTTTTTGAACCAAGCGTTTGAGCTGCTGTACATGATGTTCCCAAAATCCTGGAACCAAATGAATAGAATCGTGAGCTATCCTGCGTCCTAGGTAGTAGCTTACTTAAGCTACTAGCTACCTCTTTAGGGGCCTACACCCCCCTCCCTGGCCTAAACCAAACTTTATCTGATGAATAACTTTAAACATATGTATCTCTTGATTTGATAAATATATGTTGAACGAGATTTGGTGAATTTGTGAAGAGCCAGGTGTCCAGCTGGGTGTTCCAAGGGTGGAAGAACTTCTTCTTCGATGCCTCGGTGGCCTTCTTGGTCCGGCGACCTACGACTGGGACGAAAAATAGAAGCGACAAAGCCTGTTACGTTCGTAGTAAGAATGCTCCTAGTAGCGATGCCAGGAGCCCCTAGTAGCGATGCCCTTTGCTCCTAGTAGCTTCTTGTTACTAGTCTGTGTTTTTCTCGTCGCGCGTCGTAGCGAAGAGCATGAGTCGTGCTGGGCCGCGGACAAACTTTGATTTCCACGTCGACCAGTGTGCTTCTACGTTGCAGGTTTCTACGCTGTGGCAACTAGCGGGCAATGTATGAAACCCATTGCAGTCCCTCTTCTATTTTAAGCATATCGTGAAACAAGGCATCTTTGTAGGTACACTTAATGATACGGTTGCTTATTCTCCGTGTTAGTAGGTTTGCCTCAATTGCTAGTGGGCCCAAGAGCAGCCACCCTGAAAGCCCAGAGCAGGTAGACAGCATCAACTGAGTCGGTACAACCTTGAGGCAGTATGTCAGTAGAGGCTGAATCCAGGGTATCCCTTAGCCTTTACTGACCCCCTACTGACTACCCTGTTTGTTTGTCTTCCAAGGTCTCCCTGATCTGTTTGAGCTTAGCTGCCTATCGGTTCTCCTGGCTGGCTCCTGCTTATGCGCTTGGGGGCCCATGGCACGCGCGCCAGTGTGGAGTCGGTTCGGCCTGCGGGCGCCGGAGAAAAGAGGAGATGCTTGTTCCTAGTAGCTTCTTGTTACTAGTAGTAAGGCACCTGTTACTACTAGCGTGGCACCTGTTTCTACTAGCTTCTTGTTACTAGTAGTAAGGCCCTGTTACTAGTAGCGATGCACTTGTTACTAGTAGCGTGGCACTTGTTTCTACTAGCTTCTTGTTTCTACTAGTAACAGGTGCCACGCTAGTAGTAACAGGTGCCTTACTAGTAGTAACAAAAAGCTATTATAATTAAAATTAAAGTAACTTTAATAGCTTCTTGTTACTAGTAGCGTGGCACTTGTTACTAGTAGCGATGCACTTGTTCCTAGTAGCTTCTTGTTGCTACTAGTAAGGCACTTGTTACTAGTAGCGATGCACTTGTTTCTACTAGCTTCTTGTTACTACTAGTAACAAGTGCCACGCTAGTAGTAACAGGTGCCTTACTAGTAGTAACAAAAAGCTATTATAATTAAAATTAAAGTAACTTTAATAGCTTCTTGTTACTACTAG